CTTGGTTTATCTCTTGCAGATTCTAACCTCCTGAATGAATTTGATTGGTCTGTTCATAATGACCTGTGTGGAAGTGACCACTTCCCAACTATCCTTTCAGAAATAACTCCATCTGATTCTCCATCGTACACAAGATGGAACTTTTCGAAGGCTAACTGGTCTTCATTTGAATATAATTGTAAATCAAAATTGCGACCTGATTTTTCAGTGCTATAACTGATCCCATTCAAACTTTTCTGACGTTTTAAATGAAATAGCGGATGAGTGTATACCAAAGTCCTCTACGACTCCACATGTACGAAAACCGTGGTTTAATACTGATTGTAGACAAGCCAGAAAAGCGAGGAAAAGGCAGAGCGTTATTTCCGCCATCATCCAACTGTCCATAGCTTAAATAAATTTAAAATACTCAATGCAAAGGCACGTCGTACCTTTAAACAAAACAAACGACAATCTTGGAGAAATTATGTCTCAAAAATCAATTCGCGCACACCAATGTCTAAGGTTTGGAACATGGTTCAGCGAATAAAAGGCAAAGGTTCAAAATCAGCTGTACACCATCTTAAAGATGGTGATAACTTGATAACTGATAAATCTGACATTGCAAATAAAATTGGCGAAACCCTTGCCAAAAATTCATCATCGGCAAATTATATCCCTGAGTTTCAGAGATATCAGAAACAACAGGAAAAGACGAAACTTAATTTCGAATCAAATAACGGTGAAGATTATAATGAAGTGTTTTCATTACATGAGCTATATACTGCTCTTGAGCAAGCTCATGACACTGCAGCGGGTGATGACAATATACATTACCAGCTACTGAAACACTTACCTGAACCATGTCTGATGACTCTTTTAGATATATTTGACCAAATATGGACGTCTGGAGAATTTCCCCCTTCATGGCGTAATGCCATTGTAGTCCCAATACCAAAACCTGGCAAGGATCATACCGATCCGTCTAATTACAGACCAATATCTCTAACTAGCTGTGTCTGTAAAACCATGGAACGTATGGTGAATAATAGATTAACTTGGTATCTTGAAACCAATAACCTTATAACCAATATTCAATGTGGTTTCAGGAAAAATCGAAGTACCATTGATCATTTGGTACGATTAGAATCCTTTGTTAAAAATGCAATCGTAAATAAACAACATGCCGTATCGATATTCTTTGATCTTGAGAAAGCTTATGATACGACCTGGAAGCATGGCATTTTGAGGGATTTACATGAATTTGGTTTGAGAGGCCGTCTGCCTCTTTTATCTCACGGTTTTGAAAGACAGACAATTTCAAGTCCGAGTGGGTTCAACCCTGTCTGATCATTACAATCAGGATCAGGGTGTCCCTCAAGGCAGTATTTTGTCTGTCACTTTATTTAGTATCAAGATTAACAGTTTATCCAAGGTTTTAAACGATTCCATTGATGGATCACTTTTGTGGATGATTTTAACATTTCTTGTCGTGGTAAAAATATGCATACTATTGAACAGCAATTGCAGTTGTGTTTAAATAAAATAAATAAATGGTGTCTTGAAAACGGTTTTAAATTTTCTAAATCCAAAACTAATTGTCTACACTTTTTGTAGAAAATATAAACCACATAAAGATCCTGAACTATCTTTAAATGGCACTCCCATCAAAGTTGTTAAGGAGGCCAAATTCTTGGGTCTAATTTTCGACTCCCATTTAACTTTTGCCACATATTAAATCACTGAAAGCCAAAATGCCTGAAGGCACTCGATTTGTTGAAAGTTGTTTCCAACTCAAAGTGGGGAGGGATCAAGCTACCCTCCTCCACCTGTATCGATCATTGGTCCGCTCGAAACTTGATTATGGCTCCATCGTATATGGTGGGGACCTGTAAAAAAAACAACCTCAAACTACTTGATTCTATCCATCACCAGGGTCTAAGACTTTGTCTTGGGTCTTTCAGAACCTCTCCCATTGACAGTCTCTACGTTGAGGCCGATGAGCCATCTTTAAAACTTCGCCGTATCAAATTGTCCCTACAATATATCACAAAGTTATATTCTAATGAATCCAATCCTGCTCACACTTGCGTTTTTAATCCTCTTTATGAGGACTTGTATAATAAAAAAACTTCACTTGTTCCACCTCTTGGGATAAGAATCCAACAATATATTTCTGCTGCTGGCATTGAGCTGGATTATATATCCCCTTCCCGTCTTCTTTCTTCTCCTCCTTGGCAACTGGTTAGGCCTGAAGTTGACCTAATTCTGACAAAGTTTAAGAAGTCTGAAACTAATGAATTACAGTATAAACAAGAATATAATCAATTAAAAATCAAATATAATACATACAAATCCTTATTTACAGATGGGTCCAAGGATGGTGGCGCGGTTGCTTGTGCCACTGTCATTGGGGTCCAGAACAATATCTTCTAGAATACCTGATACCAGCTCTATATTTACAGCAGAAGCAAACGCCATATTAACGGCTCTTAAATATATTCAACGACATCCTAAACATAAACAGTACATAATCTTTTCCGATTCTCTTTCTTGCCTTCAGGCTATTAAAAATCTCTCTTGCAAACATCCACTTTTAATTGAAATAATCGAATTATATAATGATCTTGCTACTGGCCAATGCGACATCGTCTTTTGTTGGTTACCCAGCCACGTTGGCATTTCTGGGAACACGATGGCTGATCTTGCTGCTAAGGCAGCCCTCAACAAATCTGTGACACCACTTCTTATCCCATACTCTGATTATAAAGCCAGCATTAGAACGTACATCCGCGATCTAATGCAAAAGAAGTGGGACACCCAAGTAGGTATTAATAAATTACATGCAATAAAACCCTACATTGGTTACACCTACTTGGGTTGTCAGTCCAGATTTGAGGAGGTCATTATGCGACGATGTCGCATTGGCCATACCAGATATACTCATGAATATTTATTGAAAGGCGAAGATCCTCCGTTTTGTATCCCTTGTGATGAAAGAATCACAGTCAAGCATGTCTTGCTTGACTGTGTGGAATATTCCATCACAAGGGATATCTATTTCACATCAAAACTCTGAAGGATCTTTTTTAATAATGTCAGTCCTCATTTAATTATTGCATTTTAAAAAAAATAGATTTGTTCACTGATTTGTAAATAGTTAAATATTTTATTATTGGTAGTTTATATTAGTAACTGAAGTTGTTAGTGGCTGTACCCTCAAAGGGGTTGACGTAGCGTAAAATTATTGTCCTCCTGAGGGGGTACGTAAGTCCTAAAACTTTCAAAGTCAATTTAAAGAGTACCAGGTTTTTAATCGTAGCATTCTTGTAATTTTAAATGTAGCTAACATTCCTTACAATCGCCAGCAGCTGAAGGGATGGTGTAAATCCAACTAGGGTCCATGCAGGTAGCCAAGGTACTGTAAGTCCCCATGGTCCCTAGTTTGGTGATCTACCTTCTGGTGTTGGCGATCTATAGCCCATTTTACATTGTATTGTCTTCTTTCATTGGAATATTTTAGCTTTGTTTGCTAGTTTTATATTTTCATATCTGTGATTATCTAGTATTTTTTACTGTCCTTCGTCGGCGGTTTTATAATATCTATATATATATTCTATTTCTTACTGTCAAACGTTCTCGTCACGATATGGCTGAAATATTGCCGATGTGACGTTAAATATTAACTCACTCACTCACTCACTCACTCACTCACTCCACCACCCCTCCCCAATAATATGCATATGTTGACAGGGTTCAGGGCGTGCTCAATGCATCATTTACTGATAGATCTATTCATACAAACAAATGTTTATAATAATGGGATGCAATATAAAATGTTGATTAATCCTATCCGATTTTGTATAGCTGCCCTTAGGGACCGTTTATAATGTATGGCTTTGGGGTGATGTTGACTTTTATGTACAATGTGAATTACTGTTTATGAAAGGTTGATCAACCAAACAACCAAAATTCAACGTTGATTCAACGTTGATTCAACGTTATTAATGCCCGCTGGGATTGCATCGTGTACATGCAGTGTGTGGAACAGAACGGTAATTCAACCGACTCCTTCGCCTGGATGAAGTCGGCTGGTCTGAAATGTGAAACTGAAGGCTTTCTTTTGCTGTCAGGACACTCTCGCAATTGCCTAAATGTCATCCTAAACGAAAATATTTGCATGAAATGTCGATTGTGCAATGAATTTACAGAGACTTTCCAACAACTCGTCAGTGGATGCCCTTCTTTGGCGCAAACGGCATATCTTAAACGACATGATGACGCTGACTCGTTGCTTCTACTACCGTCTTCGCCATGCCTGTGGAGTGAGTGAGTGAGTTTAGTTTTACGCCGCACTCAGCAATATTCCAGCTATATGGCGGCGGTCTGTAAACAATCGAGTCTGGACCAGACAATCCAATGATCAACAGCATGAGCATCGATCTGCGCAATTGGGAACCGATGACATTTGTCAACCAAGTCAGCGAAACTGACCACCCGATCCCGTTAGTCGCCTCTTACGACAAGATAGTCGCCTTGTTATGGCAAGCACATGGGTTGCTGAAGACCTATTCTACCCCGGATCTTGCCATGCCTGTGGATTTGACTCCGAGGTCCATCCCTGACCCTGAACATGTCCACGGCGTCATGGAAAATGATGCTTTCAAACTTCTGTGGAATAGGCCTGAGAAGAATTTCACAAACAAACCGGATCATGTCCTTTTTAAATAAAGCCAATGAATTTATTTATATCATTGAATTTTCTGACCCTTTGACAGCAATGTGATTGGCAAGACTCAGAAAAGGCATGTTAAGTATGCAGACTTTTGTCTTCGAAATGTCTCGCTTGCATCCAAATTACACTGTCGTCAGGCTCCCCATTGTTCCCGGTGCCCTTGGTTTGGTGTGCCACGTCTTGACAATATTTCTTACGTAAATCATCTTTTATATTTGTTATCTCTTCAGTTTATTTAACTTAACAATTGAAATTCAAGACACTTGTGAAGCCAACTATGTTGCAGGTGGTGAATTGCGGGTCGGGTATGAAAACGACTTTCCGAATTTGACAAGTTTGAAAACCAATTTGAGGTAAGTGGATTGTATACTTGTCACATAAAGAAACTGTGCATTGTCAAAATGTTATCCCAGTTGATAAGCACGATAACAAATGTCAAAGGTACATATAAACTTTTAATGGAGGGATCATGAGACCATAAATAAGTCGGGAAAATTTCAATTGAAAAGTCAATCACAATGACGTCACGAGTCCACAAGCGGGACGGGTCAAACGACCATGTCACAAGCTCAATAACGGTTATGTCCACCATCGGCATTGAGAACAGCAGTGCATCGACGACGCATAGAGCCTATCAAACGTGCAAGGAAGGCTTGTGGGATGTCACGCCAGATTCTCTCAAGTTCTGTTGCAAGGTCAAGGACGTTATCTGGCGGATGAGGAAGACGGCGTAGACGTCGATCCATCTCGTCCCAAACATGCTCTATCGGGGAGAGATCCGGTGAATTTGCAGGCCAAGGCAGTAAGTCAACGTTGTGGTGTTGCAAGAAATCCATAGCAACCCTTGCCGTTAAACCTGGACTCATCTGTAAAAACAACATGTCTCCGCCAAAACAAGGGTCTGCGGACATGATTTCGGCACCACATTCGGCGAGCTTGTCGATGACGTTGTGTCAGGATAGGCCGTATGGCAGGACGTCGTGGTCTGATCCCGTGATGACGTAAACGTTGTCGAACTGTGTTGGGGTGGATACGGCGAAGTCCTGGGATGGTTCGGGCAGTCATCACTGCAGTCTGAAACCTGTGGCGAAGATGGGTTCACCCTTATCCATCTGTCCTGTCTTGGCGTTGTTACACGTGGACGTCCAGAACGTGGCCGATCAATACGTCATTTGTGTTCTGGTACCTTATGTAAATTTTTGTATGCACAGTTTCTTTATGTGCCTAGTATACTTTTGTATTTCTTAGTTTTGTATATCAGTTGCCACCTCTAGGTTATGTTAAGCTTCCAGTGCTTGCTGTACGACATGCCCCAGTGGATGGGGAGTTCAATCGAAAAGGGAAAATTTAGTCACACTGTGGATTTCTTGATATAAAAATAGTTTCAGTATTAATTGAAATGTTTGCCAAAGCATTTTTAAACACACATAGCTTACTTCTTGCTCGTTAGCAATGCATCTCCAAGTCTGCTGTGAAGACCAAGTTTGAGCAGCACACTGTGAGCGGCAAATCCATCACATCTGATGTCAGGGGAATCATTGAGCAGGCATATACCACAAACCTGCAGTTGAGGTAAGTCACACATTACACTAACACTACACAAAACTCACAATAATGCCAAGAAGAGTGACTGGAGTGACAGACTTCTGCCTATACTTCATGTCAGTACAACACTTGCATCCCTGTATAATGTGTACTCAAGATATTTAAGTCTGTTGGCTGCAAGCTGGTCTTGTTCACATTTTTAAGGATTTTACTTCTTACTTAACGGAAGACCAAAGATATAGTTAAAAGTCAACGACTTTGTACGTTACCATGCTTCTATAAGCGAATGCATCGTCGATAATCTCCAGCGTATATGTTCCGATAAGTATCCACAACTTCCTTTGATGCAGCTATGTCTCGGCCCGATAATTTTATTACCTCCCCTTTACTGGGTCTGCATTCTCACAGTAGCCAATCAGCTAAGCCGCCGTTACAACCGAGCTTGCCAGTGTCAACAAAGATGGCGGTCGCAGCCCGAAGGTCTGTTGGGCAGTGCGGCTCAGACTTTGGGGAAATCATACAGACAAATTGACAGGTCTGAAACTTTAAAAAAAAATCTATGCAAGAACACCTTCTACCTCTTCAGAGTACCTCTGCATCAATTGTGTTGCCAAGTTTAATCGGTTAGATAATTTAAGAAGCGAAAGTGAGTTGTGATTGGTACGCCCAACTTCCCAGCGTAGACATCTGATTGGATATAAAGCCAGCCAAGGGAGCCGTAGATGCATCCAGGGTATAGTGGAGATTTATCGTAATGTATACCCTGGAGATTATCGAGGATGTTGTGAGACATGAATTTTGGTTATTATGACATTGGATTTTTGTGAAACATGACAATAGTGGAACGGAGGTACTGTGGACAACATTTTGGCTCCTATGTCTCTAGAACTGATCAGGAAAACAAGCGACAGGACCGAAATAAACAACTGGTCGCCATTGAGAGGGATCTTTCCTCTCTGGACATTAACATTGAGAAAGAGATCCCGACCATGGTTGAAGATGTGAAGAGGGAGGTAAGGGCATTTCAGTTCTTCTGACGTCTACTCTGTAGGGTTAGAATAGGATTCTCATGAGGGTTAGAATAGGTCCTGACCTGCTGGGTCAGAATAGGTCTCATGCGATACAAATTTGCAGGAACAATGAGGCATCTTATTTGATCCGATGGTTAGGCTTTGCTTATTGTGTGTTTTCATTCCTTGGCGGCAAGTGAGTTTGGCATAATAATATTAATGCCAACCACCTTCTGTCATAGAATTGAATATTTACAGGATTTTAAATATGGAAGGCATACTATTTACCTGACATAAAACAACATTATGTCACTGAACATTTAAAGGATTACGCTTTGGAATTGAAACCACTACCTTCATGTTCAATTTGTTAAGTTCCACCTAATATACAGGTCGACACAGCGCTGAATGAGGAGATCCCCGCTTGTTCTCCTAGTGAAGGAATATGACCAAACCTTCGATGCTGACAATGTCGAAGATTACAATTGGGTGAGCACAACGACACACACAATTGTATCTCAAACCAAACTGTTATGCTCATTTCAATGAGTAAGTTAAAATTTTAAAAAAGTCACGTATTTCAGCCATATCGTGACCATTAGAGTTCCAGATTAAAAGAAACCTAGTCAGTATAAATACCTGTCAACGAAGGACAGTAAAATAGCTACAAGATCACAGGTGAAAATTTTTAAACTAGCACGTAAGCCCTCTCAGGGCGAAAATAAGTCTACACTACTTCAACCCCCTTTGAGAGTACTGCCAACGATCTCAGCTATCAGAATTGTCCGTCCAAATATAAAGATCGGTACACTTACAGAATACATACATACCAAACATTGTTAATGTCACGTCTATCAGATGTGTCCCTTACCCTAACCCGAACCCTAAACCTTACCCCTAACCCTAAACCTTAAAACCCTAAACCTACCCTAACCCTAGGAGATCCTTCATTTACCTAAAGATCCTTCATATATACCAAACATATTGATCAAAAATATAAGTAAACGAGAATTTATGCTAAAAAGATCATTCGTGGTTAAAACTTTGAAATAGTTATCCTTTGTGATGGAAAAATCTACACAATCAAGCAGGACAGGACATGCTTGATTGTTATTCTTTCATCACAAGGGATACAAAATGGAGAATCTTCAACTTTTAACAAAATATAATATTCATGCATGTAACGAGAATGGCCAATGCCCATGTGACCTCGGCAGCTTTTACACGTGACATCCTTACATCTGTACATCTGACAAAGCAATTGACATTGTTATCGTGTTCACTTAGGTGATGAAATTCACCATACACCAGTCCTTCTGAACAATCATGTTTCTTGTCATCACATCTGAAGACAAACTCATGTCCACAGATGTCAACAAATCCTTAAAAATAATTACTGAAAATATAATCACTTATCTCACATACTTTAGATTAAATTTGATAATTAATTTCTAATGGAATCTGATAATCAGAATGTATATGTATTTCACGCGGTAAACATACTACTCAACTTTTACAGGGATATTCTGTTAGACTGACTGACTGACTGAGTTTGGTTTTACGCCGCTTTTAGCAATATTCCAGCAACATCACGGCGGGACACCAGAAATGGGCTTCACACATTGTGCCCATGTGGGGATTCGAACCTGGGTCTTCAGCGTGACGAGCCAATGCTTTAACCATTAGGCTACTCCACCGCCCCTATTCTGTTGGATGTAGAGTGAGTTATTCAGTCCCAAATCCACATGAACTATTTATTGAATAACCCGTTAGGTATGAGTGATTACTGAAAATAAGTCAGTTATATAAATAAAGTTTTATGGTTCAAACTCAAGCAAATATCCAAAAGATATTACACTGCATGTTTTATCCCATATGGGTAATATTGGTTGATATTCCCAAATTTGAATTGGTGATTTCTCAAGTCAGGTTCATAAGTTATGAATAATTATCCTTGCTATTGATATGGCAAAAAGATGCTTACCATTTTGATGCTTACCATTTGACACTGTATAACAATAACTCTAAATATATATGTCCTGGTTATGTTATATGAATTTGTTAGTACCACAGATTATGGGATTCTCCGAAAAGTTTTAACACCCGTTTCATTTCATGCTTTCCTAACATGCAGTGATGTTACTTGAATAGCTGTTTCGTCGATGTTTAAACTTCACTCTCTCACTCCGTCAAAATATGTACCTGTAAAAACCTTCCAAAACAGTTCTTTTTACCCCGTTGTTTGCCAGGGGTTCTTAGTTGGAGTCTGAGATAAAAACTCTGCCTTGGTATACAAGGTGCAGTTATATATAGAAATATTCCAGATTGACTAAGTGTACATGGATCATTGCCTCTGTAGATGAGCATGATGGTCTCACCATCTTGTTATACTTGTAGCATTACGCCTTGGGGTCACAAACAGGCTGTCAGTGCAGTGTTCTCATCTCATATTTCCCAATACCTAATTACACATTGATCAAAGATTGTTCTGTGGAACTGGTCCCTGAGATGCTGTAGATTGACAAATGAAGCCCATTGCTGTCGTCCATCATGAAATTTTGTTAACAGCACGCCAAACCCGGGTGTGACAGCTTGTTTGCTGCCTCCCCTATCTGCACCCTCTCCACACCATCATATCCCTTGACTTGTGTATCTGGTTCTCTACTTCAGGGATTGAATGAACGTGTAGAGCAGGAGGAGATAGGACGTGGCCTGAAGGATGCTTTCTTGCAAGGCGTCAACGATGCTGCAACACGGATGGCAGGTAAAGGGTGCTATTTTTCACAGCTGGCATTTGATAGTGCAGCCTTACAATTCGGTGTGTGTCAGTGACTTGAGTTCAAATATTGCAAGTTGCATAAAACAACTGCTTCGTCTGAAGTTAGTTGGAGATGCGTTGGGACTGGAATAATACCCTGGAGATACAAGCAGGTTTCACTGCCATCAGTATGTATCACCATTTCCTGTCAGAAGACCTTTACAGATGTTGGATCTGTTTTTAGTTATCTTTTAAACCCAAATAAAGGAATTGTGAAAACACTTTCGATCAATTGATGCATGTTAATAATTTTGCACCAATGTATGTGTTTATTTTTTTATAAAGTTGACAAATTTTGTCCTCAAATAAATAACAAGATGTTGATCGAATTATCGTCTGTAATGTAATAGTAAATCGGGAAATGCATCTATATGCAAGAAACGTATATGTTTTCCAATGCAAATTGTTATATCTCACAAGATACTGAGGAAGTACAGATTCTGTTTGCTGCTATTTATCCAGGAATAGTACTCGATTATCAGGCTTATCCTGAACAGACTGTAAGTGACCAGTCAAATAACAGTTGTGACTAATGTTACCATGGCGTATATGGCGTAATTTGGGGCCGTAGTGAGTGTCAGTTACATCCTTGTTAGAATTTCTGTATGAACAGAGAATTGCTGAGAATGTTTTGCTAAACAAGAACTTTCAGCCATATTGCACAGTGTTTATGAAAACATGTCCCACGTATGTCGGTTCTGTTTCGCCCATTACATCACAACTACAATTCAATGTAACCTTCCTTACACGAACCCATGTAGATCCCAGAAAGGATTCTTGATCTTCAGGCACCCATGAAGGGCCACCTCCTCGTGGTGGTGTGCTGGGTCACGCTAAGCGCCCTTCAACCCCCCGTTGTGGACCCGGGGGGATATTTGGTCCACCAACCCGTTTGCCGTGGGTTGCGCCCCTGTGTCGGTGGAGGACGGGAGGCTGGTGGTTGAGGGCACTAGGAGCCTGGAACCGTGTTCCTTTTGCCCAACACACCACTTCGCCCCTTACTTCACCTAGACGGGTGGTAGAACTGGCCCGGTTCTATCAATCGGCTGGTCACGCCATGCCCTGTGCATGGACTACATTCTTATGCACGTTTTGTACATCATTGTGCATTTTTGTCATGGAATGTTAGAGTTTCAAATTCTATTCTATATTATATGTTTGCCTAGAGTCCTATGCCAGAAGGCGGTGGCTCATGGGCCAATCTGGTGTTATTGACCTCCGAAATCTGTAGGCTTCCGATTTTTTGTTGTGGGCCGAACCAGCCTGACATTAAATTCGGTAAACTAATATAGCTTTTCGCGTCATACTCACTGGAGTATACCACCCCTGTATCCTTAGTGTTTGCATCTTGGATGTCCGGTGCAATTTAACACTGTCCTCGTTGATACTCGGTGGCGGGTGAGGAGCAGGGGTGGCGAATAAAGTACCTTTCACCATGTCACAACACAACTCTGGTTCCACTCGAAATGAAAAAAAGAGACGTCTTGAACTTGATAGTTCAAACGAAAACATTTTACAAAGTGTAGACTCCTGGTCTCGATTCCTTTGTGATCGAAGCATCTGATCATGAACCACTCAAATTAAACCCTTTTGCTGTGTCAAAAGCTATTTCTGGAATTTGCGGCACTGTTAAGAATGTTTCTCGTCTTCGGTCTGGCTCCACTCTTAGTAGAATGTGACGAGAAAACAGCAATCTGTCAATCTTTTATCCGTCACTAGCTTTGCAAATGTTGAGGTGGTTGTGTCCCCTCATAGAACACTAAACTCATGTCGGGGCATTATTCGAGATAGAGCTCGTTGCCTGTCTGAAATGTCCGAACAGGAGATTACAGACGAACTAGAAGACCAAGGAGTAAAATCCGTGAAACGTTTCACGAAAAAGATTGACGGTACGATAAAAGCACAAACACGTATCTGGTGACATTTGCCAGTTCGTCACTTCCAAGATCTATTAAGGCTGGATATTTCAATATCGGGTGGAGGTTTATATCCCAAATCCACTCCGATGCTACAACTGTCAGAAATTTGGACACGGCTCTAAATCTTGTCGCAGTACTGCTGTGTGTCATCGATGTGGTGACCACCATGTGGCTTTAGACTGTCAAAATGATATCAAATGTATCAACTGTGGTGGTGGTCATGTAGCTTCCTCAAAGTCTTGTCCCAAGTGGCAACAGGAATTTGAAATAGTTAAGTTAAAATGCCAAAATAACATTTCATTTTCAGAAGCAAAGCAACTGTATGCAAACCAGACAAAAGCTCCCTCAGCAATAACTTATTCTGCTGCAGTCACTACGTCTGCCGCTACTGCATCTATCATGTGTCAAACTGAGTTAACTTGGATTAACTCAGATCAGCCTCTGAGAATCACCACTAATGTAAATCAAACTAAAATAACTTCAGAAACTCAGACGAGCCAGTCTGCAGATCAACCTAACCAAGGTGTCAAACAAGACGCTCCAAAGACAAGAAAAGAAAGAGAAAACAACACAACAAGCAATTAAAGCTGGTAACTCCTCTTCTTCAGACATAGCCATCCATAATACTTTTTACTCCTCTGGATATGGAGGTGACTCCATCATCACAGGAGAGAGGAAGAAGTGGATCATACTCGCATACACGAACCAGGTCCCCGATTGAGCCACCATGACTCAATCTTTGAATTTAATCCAGTGGAATTGCAGAGGATTAAGGAAGAATTTTAATGAAGTGCAATTACTAATTCAAGATTTCAAACCATCAGCAATGTGTCTCCAAGAGACCTATCTTAAAAAATACAGATATATTTGAATTGAGACAATATAATTGTCATCATTTCTTTTCCCCTCCGGGAGATAAAAGCAACAGGAGGATCTACTATGTTAGTTAAGACAGGACATAATTCATAGTCGTATACATCCCCTGAATACCAATCTTCAAGCCGTTGCTATTCGTCTTACCTTTCATATAGCCATAACTTTGTGTTCTTTGTATATCCCACCTTCTTATGCCCTTTCGTCAATCAGAACTTCAGAATCTCTATGACCAGCTACCTAAGCCTTGCATCATCATGGGCGATTTAAATGGGCATAACCCGCTATGGGGAAGCGCCAGCACAAACAATAAGGGGAAAATACTTGAAGATTTTATTTCTAATAATAATTTGTGTGTTTTTAATGATGATTCAAGCACATATCTACATCCAGCAACTGGGACTTATTCTGCCATTGATCTGTCTCTTGCAGACTCAAACCTTTACAATGAATTTGAATGGGAGGTCCATGACGACCTATGTGGGAGTGATCACTTCCCCACCATTCTTAAAAATATCAACCCTGGTGATGATCCACCTTTATCTAGAAGGAACTTCGCCAAGGCTGCTTGGCCATTGTATAAAACTCTATGTACTGAGCATATAAAACATGATGTTTTTACGAACAGCGAAGATCCTATACAGTTGTTTTCAGAAATACTCAATGACATTGCTGAACAAACTATACCCAAGTCCTCTGCAATTCCACATATTCGTAAACCATGGTTTACTAATGACTGTAAACAGGCTAGAAAGAGTAGGAAGAAAGCAGAAAAGTATTTTCGCCGACACCCTACTGTCCATAATTTAGATAAAGTAAAAATTCTAAATGCCAAGGCTCGACGCACCTTTAAATATAATAAGCGTCAGTCTTGGAGAACCTATGTTTCAAGATAAATTCGCACACCTATTTCAAAGGTGTGGAATATGATACAAAGGATTAAAGGCAAAGTTCTAAATCCACTGTTCACCATCTGAAGGATGGAGACACTTTATTGACGGATAAGGCTGATATTGCCAATAAGCTTGGTGAAACGCTCGCCAAACATTCTTCTTCGTCAAATTACGTCCCTAAATTTCAACAATATCAGAAACAACAGGAGAAGAAGAGACTTAATTTTAAACTCAGACAATGGCGAAGACTATAATGAATTATTTTCATTACATGAGCTCCACACTGCCCTTGAGCAAGCTCATAACACAGCAACAGGAGCTGATAATATACACTATCAGCTCTTGAAGCATTTACCGGAATCATGTTTGGAAACTCTTCTAAATATTTTTGACACAATATGGACTTCAGGGAATTTCCCACCTTCGTGGCGTAATGCCATTGTAGTCCCTATACCAAAGCCTGGCCGGGATCATACTGATCCGTCGAATTACAGACCAATCTCTTTAACGAGTTGCGTCTGTAAAACCATGGAACGAATAGTCAATAATCGCTTAACATGGTATCTTGAAACCAATAATCTCATAACAAATATTCAATGTGGTTTCAGGAAAAATCGTAGTACCATTGATCATTTGGTACGTTTAGAATCCTTTGTAAAAAATGCAATAGTTAATAAACAACATGCTGTATCAATTTTCTTTGATCTTGAGAAAGCATACGATACCACCTGGAAGCATGGCATTTTAAAGGATTTACATGATTTTGGTTTGAGGGGTCGTTTACCTCTTTTTATATCACAGTTTTTAAAAGACAGGCAATTTCAAGTCCGAGTGGGTTCAACCCTGTCTGACCATTACAATCAGGATCAGGGTGTCCCACAAGGGAGTATTTTGTCTGTCACTTTATTTAGCATTAAGATCAACAGTTTATCCAAGGTTTTAAACGATTCCATTGATGGATCACTTTTGTGGATGATTTTAATATTTCTTGTCGCGGTAAGAATATGCATACTATTGAACGGCAACTGCAGTTGTGTTTAAATAAAATACATAAATGGTGTCTTGAAAACGGCTTTAAATTTTCTAAATCAAAAACTAATTGCATACATTTCTGCCGTAAATATAAACCACATAAAGACTCCAGAACTGTTTTTGAAATGGTACTCCCATCAAGGTTGTCAAAGAGGCCAAATTCTTGGGTCTGATTTTCGACTCCCATTTAACCTTTCTTCCGCATATTAAATCCCTAAAAACTAAATGCCTGAAGGCACTCGATTTATTGAAAGT